TTTTTCCTGTAATGGTATTTACAGGAAAAAATTCAGAACTTACCCAGATGTTGCACAAGCCGAGAAGAGACCTGATTATAATAAATGTCAAAATGCAATATTTAAACACTTTTTTCAACGAATGATTATATTGTGGTGTCAGCGTGTAAGACACAGGGAAGGCCTTGATTCCACCAAGTCCTCAAGGCAGAAGCACCACATAATGTACAGCCAACCCTTCAGGGAGGTTATCACTAACCACAGGCTTCACACTCATGATAGGCCAACCCTCGATATAAAACACACTAACTAAACCTGCCCTGAACTAAGGTCTAAACTAAAGTCTTGTGCCCCATGAAAGTTAAGCTATAACGTTATAGTGCTTTTTGAAGTCAATGTCGATGCTGCTGTAAAAAGGGCATGGGTGCAATCAGGCTGCTGTTTTATAACGTTACGAATGCAATCAAACTGTGCCTGTCTTCCAGGAAAAATTCAAAGTTTTAAACAAGTGATGCACAGCAGCATATTAAGCATTTAGAGCTTATTATTGTGTCCTTAATGAGTATAAACTGACCGTAGGTAGGTGTAGGTGTTTTCCAATATAAGGAGACCAGACATCCCTCTTTTCTGGAGACAGCTCCAGCTGGAGACAGGCCACACAAAAATGGGGACTGTCCCCAGAAAAGAGGGATGTCTGGTCTCCTTAGATTGGAAAACACCTACACCTACACCTACACCTGCCAGAAATGTCTCCATTTTTAACTGTGAATTAATAAACACTGGAAAGTCCAAAGAAAGACCTGGCAGCAAAGTAGACAGGCAGAAATTTTGCATCATGCTTGTTTTGGCCAACAGAGGGGGCTGGCTGCTGCTATCTGCTAAGCACTTCTACCACTTGCTTGCCTAGTTTTAGAGAATACAGCTGTGTAAAACTTGACGTGAAGCTAGAAAGTGTCAAGTGAGTCCACATCATTACAAATGTCTTTTCAAGACACGAAGTAACGCAGGAAATAAAAGAAGGGGTGGACTTGAATCATACTATGAGGTGATAAGTAGGCATACAGTCTACTTGAAGGTAGGTCATCCATAAAAGATACATATGTTGATAGCAGCCGTCAATGTCTCTCTAAAACTGAAGCTAGTTCAGTGGTGTGTTTAGGGCCATACTGGGCCACAGCCACAGGTCTTTTTTTGTAGTTACAGGTCTCTTTTTACTGCCAAAATATTTAACATGAATATGAATTATGGGCTCACACAACCAACTAAATCTTTTGTAGTAAATGTTTTTTCCTGTCTCATCCCTGCCTAAGCTGCTAGACTTTGGGCATTTGCACACCTAAAAGTCCAAACCAATGTTCAGGTTATTTTTTTCACTGGACCAAATTACAGTTAAACATTTCGTTGCATCCTCTTCCCCCTGTGCTATTGTGGTTCATTTTTACTTCTCTCCCGGTTCTTTTTGTCCTTCTATTGTTTGATGGCTGATGATGGCCCGCCTTAACTTACTGTAATTGGCTCAGCGACATTATTTCTAAAAAGTGACGAGTGGCAAATCTCACAAGGGGGAAAGCAAGAACCAAAAACCTTTTAGAGGACTACTGTAATTATTTTCCATACATGCTGGCTATTTTCTTTATTCAAGTGTTCCATAGTTTACCATAGCTTTACTCACCATGGTGAGCCCCTGTAGGATTTTCTGACATTGTTTACAAAGTTAGTATTCAATTTTATCAGTTGGCCTTTGCCATAGTTTATTACAGTACAACAGTTACCATAGTCCAAATACATAACACTTGAACTGTCCCCTCTTTTTTATTTCACAGATAAAGACATAAAAACACTGGATATTTTAATGATATATTGACCTCTGGACTGGAAATGTCCCCAGTTTTCATTTCAGAAATCTGGTCACCTTATTCCAATCGTCCTCATATAGTTCCCTGCAAAGTGTACTGTATTGGGTGTTCAGTTGGAAGGGAACTTAAGAGTATTGCAGTAGAGAACAATGGTTTATCACTTCACAGAAAGCTGCAGTAAAAAATTACCCATCAGTAATTGCGTATCTCTTGAATATGTGTGATCATGACGCTGTAGGACATTCTGAATGAAGGCATTTATCAACTGCAGTCCCCTTTACCAGCATCCTGTACCCGAATGTGTAGGGAATGTAACAGTACTGCTTAGGAACCCTGTGGAATGGAATGTGGGTCAGGTTGCATAAACATTAGCTCCAACTTTACTACTCAACACCGGGCAAAAACCCGACAGTGTAATCAACACAGATCCTTCACATCAGGCATCCCTAAACATTTGCATGATAGCTGAACACAGAAACACAGATGCAGCACTAATAAGTGCAAAAGTGCAAACATAACACTCATAAAAAAGAGCACTAGTAATTTTGAAATTAGGGCAGACACACACACACACACACACACACACACACACTCACAATTTCTGGTGTTGCTATGCATAAATAGCAAATAATCTTGAATTTCTTTTCATAGCAATCACCAAAACAGTGCCTAAAGCCTAACAAAGAATCTGACAGAGAAGGTTTGATTTAATGTGTTTCATCAATAATAAGTATAAGAGCATTATGAACACTGAATACAGACAGAGACGTTATAGGGGAAGACGGGTCACAGGTTGGAAAATAAATAGGAAAGCACATAACGCTTAACAAGGCATCTGTTTATGAGGAAAGTCCCATCCTTAAGTAAAAAGAGCCAGTCAGCTTGCTGGTAAAGCTGTAAGTGAGAAAGTACCCTCCACCGCTTATCAAAGTCTGTGCAAGCAGCCAGAGCAATCTGCAAAAACATGTTTTTGTCAAATTTTACCAGTGATTTCAGGTATGTTTTTGAAACTGTAATTTGGCCTTTGGTTTACTGTGAGGGGGAGCAGAATTTATTTTGGCACCTGTTGAAATTACATTCCCGCAGAAAACATATTTCTCTAGGTTTTAGGTTTTTTGGGATTTTATGAGGGGTAGTAGAATTTTGTTGAAATGATACTCCCCCTGTTATCTCTGGCTTGCACGGTCTCAGACACATTCTGTTTGTTCTAGTTACAGGTATTGGTCTTTTATTTATATCATATAAAGTGTGTGGTTTCAGGTTCAGCAGGAGGGACTTTGTCAGGGGGAAAACAATTTTGGTTTACTTTAATACCTGTTGAAATCTTGTTACATCAATCGTGGAGTGGCGGCTAGACACATAAAATTCTATTCTGGTGACATGTCCATACCAAAGCTGTATTATAATTCCTGATTTAACAGGGATCATTTCTGAGGGGAGTAGAATTTTGGCAACATTTTTTCTGACATCTGTTTCTTGGGGCCCCCGTGACCCAGAAGGATAAGCAGTTTCAGAAAATGTGTGTGTGTGTGTGTTTCTTGGGGGTTTTGTCATATTTTTTCTACTGTATATTGTATATTTATCTTGCCCTGAGTAATGACTTGTCTACTGGACCATTCCAACCACACTCCTTTGTATGATGTCCAAGGTCCTTGCTCTGTTTCTGACCACAGTGATCAGCTCATCCCTTGGACGCAGTCTGATTCCTTCCATCATCAAGTGAAAAAAATGCATAAAAGTTACTTCCCAAGAAACCCAGCCTTGATCCAGCAACTTTATAAATGTTATAGAGATTGCCTTTGATACTGTGAACCAAATGCTTGTTTCAACATGTTCAGATGTCTCCAGCACTGCACACTACTATTCTTGATCTTTGAATTTTATCAGACAGCCTGGAAAGATCCTTCCTCAGCTCCCAACAACTTCACTATAAAATGCTCCACAAGGATATCTGGCTGTCTTCCTGTAAGGGGTCCCATCACCTAAAACTGAATCTTGGTAAGACAGAGCTACCTACAAAGATCTTCCCTAACAGTGACCACTTTATCACCTTTCACTCTCAAACAATCTGTCCATCACCGTCACATACAGATAAAAACCTGCTTCATTTCTCAGATCACTGTTGTATGTTCCTTCTGCCAAAGTCTAAAAACTTTTCCAGGCAATACCTTAGTTACACACACTCATATTTTTATGAACAACAATCCTCTGCACTTAAAAAAAAAAACTCACTTATTTGTGCTCACACTGTAAAAAGTGGCTTGTCAGATCTACTTTAAAAAATTACTTCATGTGGTAACAAGCAACTGAACTAGTTTTTGAAAAAAACTATTGAAAATATTGAAAAAATCGTTCGTTCAAAGTATTTATTTAGATTGAATAAAACGTTAAAGTTAATTTACGTGTTACCACATGAAGTAATTTTTTTAGGTAGATCTGATGAGCCACTTTTTACAGTGCAGTCTATGTTTGTCTTCATTTATGTATATCAAACAATGACAGCATCTTGTCTGATTTATTTACAGTGGTGGTGATAGAAACCAGGAGTCACCATGTCATCAACGCAAATATAGCCATTTTATTTACTATCCAAAACCACCATTGAACATACACATGAGTTTTATACGTAATATTGATAACAGTAAAATAGCGCTAAATCTAAAAAAACAAACAACTTTTTTTGCTTGTCTTTCATTAAACCTGTCACATTTCTGGTTCCTATCACCACCCCTGTGAACTATTCTAACTTGGTAAGACATGGTTGGGATAGATTCGTTTCTATAATACAAAATAATTATATTTCCAAATAAAACTTCGTCTGATAAAGTCCTTCTTGTTGAACATAGAGAAAATTGCTTTTATGGTATAAACTACCCAGAAATAAAGGTATGAAACTGTCACTGGGGCAGTACCCCTCTTGTCACTGGGGTGGTACCCTCCAAGGTACATATCAGTTCCTTTAGTCAGGGAACATAATTGTACCAAAATCCATTGTAATTATATTTTCTAAGCTGTATTGACTTCACACACACACTCATCTCCAGGCTTTTTATTTTATTGTTCTGTTTTAAAACATTGGATTATGAAAATGAACAAATATGTACTTTTCACCTGGGAGAAACTTATTTAAGGTACACAATTGGACCTTAAAACCACTGTTGTGCTTTTGAGGTACATTTACATTGTTTGTACCTTGATGAACAAAAAATGTACCTGCATAGTGTACAGACCAAAATATCTTACCAGAATAAATGTGGTTTCTCAACCCAGACATGAGGATAGAGAATAATCTGGGTAAATATTCTACTCCCCCCTGATAAAATTAATATTGTTGAACCTGGAATTATATACTCTCTACACTATAGCTTACAGACCAAGAAATGTCACCAGAATAAATTGGGTTTGTCTGAGATCCTGCAATCCAGAGATATCAAGGGGAGTATAGTATTGGCAGGTGCCAAAATAGCATTTACCAAATTCTACTCCTCCATAAAACCCAAAACAAGATAACAAAGCTGTTATCTTGCGATAACAAGTTAACTATCATGTGATCTCAAGATAACCAAGTTGTTATCTTGAGATAATGAATTATTTATCTTGTGATCTCAAGATAACAACTTTCGCAAGATAAGTAACTCATTATCTCAAGATAACAATCCAGAAATTATAACAACAGCTCATGGCATCTGCAGACTTCCACAGAATTCCCTTTTAAAGGGAGAACTTTACAAAGCGTTTGGATGAACTGTTCAAAATGGGACTCAGATCTGTTTTTTCAAATCTTTTAAATATTTAAAATCATAATGTTGTAGTGTAGATACATTTGCCTTCAATTGCAACTTTCAGGTGTAGTCCCAGATAATGTGACTAATTGTTACCATCATGGATTTACATAGGCCTACAGAGATCATCTGGTGTAGCTTTTTGCATGTAGCTGGCATTTTGGCATTGTCATGGCTTAATAAATGATAGATATTTAGAGGTATGGTCTGTGCCTAAATGTATACTGATGTGAGTGCCCACCTAGTCACCTGGTATTTTTATAAGATGAAGACCTTTTTGTTTTTGTTTTGAGCACTGGGGTCACCTGCTGGCTTCGCTTTGGTTGAATATGCATTCAATTGGCTGCTGTATGCTGCCCCAAAAATAAATGAAGGAAACTGGTGTGTAGGATAAAAAAAATGTTCAAAAAATTCATAAATCTTATTGAAGATGTCATAAAGAAATTGTTTGATTTTTTCAAACAGTGTACTGCTTCTTTCAGCTTTCCATCTTGCCTCTCTCTCATGTTTCACCTTCAGAACCTGGATTGCCATTTCCATCTCTTCTCCTTTTAGCAGTGACCTCAGTTTCTTTATCTCTTCCCGTCTCTGTGCTTCATTCTCTTTCAGGATGCGCTGTTTCTCTTCTTCTATAGCTCTCTCAATCTCCTGCAGCATCTCTTTGGTGTAGTGTCCTCCACCATTTCCAGTGACCATCTTATCAATCTGGTCCAGAAGCTGGATGACCTGCTCCGGATCCTGATCTTCATTATTGAACACATGGTATCGCCCACTGTATTTCTTGATCACATTCAAAAGTTTCGGGCTGTCACGTACAAACTGATGAACATTTTTTCCTTTCAGTTGATCACCGTGTGTGAACAGTACCATAGTGTACTTGGAAGATTCTTCACCAAAAATGATCTGAAATAGCTTCACTGTTTCTTCGTCTTCCTCTGTAAATCTACCTAACCTGATCACAACTAAAAATGCATGTGGACCCGGAGCAGACAGTGGAAGGCACAGCTTTATCTGACTGACCACCTCATCTGAACTCAAGTTAGTGTCAAACAGACCTGGAGAGTCGATAACCGTTACTTTTCTTCCATCCACATTTCCATGGACTTTTTCGCACTCTGTGGTTACAGAGGATGAGGAGAAATCAGATACAAATGCCTTTTTCCCCAAGATGGTGTTTCCTGTTGCACTCTTGCCTGCACCAGTCTTCCCAACCAGCAGAATCCGAAGCTCCCCATTTAATTCTTGCCCTGATGGATCAGTAAATTAGTTACACCTCTTGTTGCTGTTAAATATGTATTATATTATAAAAATAAGGATGCATCTATACCAATACTTGTCTTGGGTAACAGCCTGACACCATGCTGTGGTACAAGTTAGCAAAGCTGCTGTAGCTTAGTTTCTCAGCATGTTTGCCCTGTACTCCATTGAGCAGTATGTTATTCAGAATAAAGCAGCTTTATTGATAATTGTCCATAAGGGCTGCGTTTTATGTAGCATGTCATTTAGTCTGAGCGTTATTGTACAGTTTGAGCATATAAATCAGAGTTTTTGGTCAGTAAACAAAGGTTTACTCAAATGTACAAATTGCACAGTGAAGGCCTGGCTTTTCCACAGTACAGTATATATGGGTTTGTTCCAAAATGCATTAAATGCCACATTCATTTATGTATGATTTTTATTTTATCATGCTACACTATGCTTAATGTCACATTTATTAATGAAATAAAAATGTGTTTTCTTAAACATTTTTTTTCATTAAAAAGTCCAAAATGAATACAAATGAATGTTCTCACATTCTGAAACGGAGCCCTTCATATCTACACTCAGCTCTGTAATTATTGGCAACCTTGGTAAAGATGGAACAAGAAAGTCATTAAAAATGTCTTTGTGGTTAATTAGCTCAGTATCTCACTGAAAATATGACAAAAAACTAATCTTTTATTGATTTAGTCTATTGATCTAATTAATCCAAGAAAACAAAAACCCTTGTGAGTTTTTTTAACACAGCCACATGGCACAGTTACTGGCACTACTAGAAATTCTTATGTACAAAATGTATCTGAAGCACATTCCTATTTATGTTTCAGTTTCAGTCACCTGAGTGTTCAGGAACTCTTAAGCAATCCATGACTTCCTGTTTCACTGGGGTATAAATATATAACTGACACACAGCCGAATTCTCTTACTCATTTATCAACAAGATGAACATTAGACAATACACAAATCTTCAGGCATGGCAATGGCTATAAAATAAAATAGCAACACAACCCAAAATGTCTGTATCCATTGTTAGCGCGATAACTGAGAAGTTTAAAACAGCCTGAGCTGTAGTGAACCTGCCTGGTCTATCCATCCCCCCTCCACATACAGGGAGGGGGATGGATAGAGATTTGCAGAAGATTGTAGCATTTTGGAGTCACCAAAACTACAATTAGATGCCATCCTCATGCCCATAAACTACTTGAAAGGCATGCCAGGAGAAAGCCTTTTTTTTTCACCCAACCACAAACGTAAGTGCCTGGTGTTTGCTAGACACTACTAAAACTTTGCCTGGACCCAGGTTCTATGGTCATTTGAGGCAAAAATAAAGCCTTTTGGCCACAAACATTTAAAGTAAACCCACCTTGATTTGTGGCCAAAAGGCTTTTTGTGAAAAGAAGGATGGTTATACAGAAAAGTACGTCATCCTTGCTGTTAAGTATGGTGAAAGATCTGTGATGTTTTGGGGCTGTTTTCCTTCCAAAGGCATTGTACACCGTTGCTCAACCTTGTTAAAATACATGACATCATGGACTCAATGAAGTACCAGGAGATTTAGGTAAAAATCTCTCTGTCTCTGCCAAAAAGCTAAGACTGGGCTGTGGCTGGATCTTCCAGCAGAACAATGCTCCAAAACATATGTGTGCATCCACACAAAAATGGTTCAGTGACTACAGAAAGCTTTTGACCCTAGTCAGCCTAGTCCCCTGATCTAAACCCCAGTGAAAACCTGTGGGGAGGGCTGAAGCGTAAAGTTCGAATTAGAGGACCTAGGACCCTGGAGGATCTGGAGAGAATCTGTATTGAAGAGTGGTCTTAGATTCTTTGCCCTGTATTCTCCAACCTCATCAATCATTCTGGGAAAGAATTAATTTCTGTTATGTTGGTAAAGGGAGGTTGCAAAAACTTTCTAAATTTACTTATTTTAAATTACTTTTTTTTTAAACTACATACCTTTGCCACTCTTATGGCTGCTCTGCGTCTTGGAAGCCTATGGAGAAAATTCAATTCGGTCTTGTCTAATAGAGATTTTAAGTGCAGTACTATACACAATTTATGACACAAATTTTATAATTTAGAAAATATTCCTCATATACTAACTTATTAATGTATATGTTAATTTCTCATTTCATTATGTCCATATGTTCTCTGAGCTTGCCTAAAATTAAATCTGAAGAGACTTTTCAAATTAATCAAATCATATGGCTAAAATGAGTTTTTATCTTTCTTTATCATTTTACTACTCATTTCTATTAAAAAAGAGAAAAATACTACAGAAATTCCACATTTGAAAAGTATGAAAATGACATTCAGTCTAAAATAAACAAACAAAAGACCACAGGCCTATTCAGTACTGTATTACTCCAGGTGTGCCATGTCGTGACACTTACCTGCAACCTAGTAGCCGCCACGATGACTAAACATGTCAGCAGTAAAGTAAGCCGGGTCCTGTACGGCGTTGACTGCCCTGTCCTAACCTGTCGTATGGAATCCACTAAAGGACCACACAGAAAGGTTTATGAAGAATACATTCATTCATTTAAGTTGTAATCTGGATATGATTATAGTCTATTGTAAGCATAATTTTAACGATCATATAAATTGTTAAAGGGTCTTACCAGCCATTGCGATGGAGGATGTGTTTCTTTTTCACAGATAAAGTTTCGTTTCCGCTCAGCAGCATTCAGGCGGTGCGTCACTCGCCCGGAACCATTGTCAAAGGTTTTTGTACCGCCAGGGCAGGATATTCTCGTGGCTCTGGTCTCAGGCAGGCAGGGCTTCCTGGCGAGCAGCGCTCAGTGTAGAAGAGGGAGAGCTGAAGGCAGCAGGGAGGAGAGAGCATGGCTTTAAACCTCACCATCAACACCAACAACCCTCCTCTAGGTAAAAACACCAGATGCGTTTCTTTGATTTAAATGCGAAAACGCGACTTGTGGTGTAAGAACAGCTCCGCTGTTCATTCGTGTTGAGTGACCGGTGGCGCATGTAGCTAAAGCTAAGCATTAACCTTATGCCGTCGTGGCATAGCTGATTTGCTAGCAAGCTCGCTATATTTAGCCTGAAAAATATCTCTATCCGAGCTCTCCAAGCACTTGACAAACTGGAGACTGTTCAGTAAATTATTTGCATCTTGATGAAATTGTATGTAGGGTCAAAACAATCAGATAAACGTTCTTAAAGATTTCCATTCATCTGTAAACTTGGCATTGTTTCATTCAGTTTGATTGGCTATGCGTATATCTCTGTTTGCCGGGTATAAGTACGCTGGGAAAAGTTGTGGAGTTTAAAAAAAAAAAAAAACATTTTTAACAGACTTCGGTTACTTTAGCTAACTAACTAGCTGCAGATATTATTCTAAAAACAGTGTGTTGTCTGTCTGGCTAAATGATCTAGACACATTAACCTCCAGTGGTGCCACCGTTCGTTAAGAAACGGTATTACTGGCTGATGCAAGCGAGCTGAAAAACTAGCGGCGTGAATAGTTTAATGTTCTTGTAATATATAGACAGCCCTGTGACCAATAACAACATCGCACGTTGCTTAAAATAAATAAAGACATTTTTTCCAGATTAAATTTTCTTCAAAGCTCACAGGATTAAAGTGTCGACCATATCGTTATACTTTATACAATGCACATTTTTTTTTCTTTGTCATACATCGTATCAGTCACATTTTAACCAACAACCCGATGAACCTGATGGGAAGAAGCCCTTTGCATTCTGTTATAGATGGCCAGTGAACTGTCTGACTGAGAATGAGGCTGCTTTACTCCAGGCTAGTCAAATTATCTTGCTATGAGTGCCAGCAGTTGTTGTGTGCTCTGAAGGCTCTTTCTGCAATCACTTGAAAAACAACCTCTTAGGTTGCTTTTGGTTTTATTCATGTAGATGATTGCATGCGTGAGGTCTTATTTGCCTTTGATGTAACCGCACACTGAAGTGCAATAAAAGAGACCTTTACTGGACTGAACTGTAGAGCTGTAGTTGTCTTTGATGGAGAAGAGTCACTCCCCAACCACCTCCCTCAGCTGCAGTGCATTTGTCATTTTAGACAAAATGTTTCTTTCGACAAAATGTGTCTTTTGTGTTCCACACCTTTCTTTTCTTCTCTCTAATTAATGCTTACTGTTTTTTGAATGCTCTGAGTGAGACGAACAGCTGGAATATATGCTTGGAATTGAGCAGAACAAGTTATTCTTTTTAGTACTTTATGTACTATTTTCTGTTTCAGCATATTTGTTTGCATTAATAGGATACAAAAGATCTTGGGCTTTTTTTACAAAGCAGATTAACAGAGACAAAGCATTTCTCAGATAGCCAGATAAAGTAAGCCTGTCCAATAGGAGAGTTCTGGGTTGTTAGCTGGGTTGTATAACCTTCATTTTTTGCATACGTTATCTAGCTTAATGAGAAAACCTGTTATGTAAAGTATCCAACAAGTCATATTTTGAATTTGAAATGTACAAAAGTGTTTTAAGTTAAGACTAGGCTCTCCCTAGTTTTGCAAGTAAAATATCTACATCAGTAAACCATCACTCCTAAAGAGTTCTGTAGCTAGCTTTTGAATATGGATAGTTAGCTGTGCTGTGGAAGCTCTGCTGAGCATGGTCTGTGAGTGTTACACGCTGAAACACCATGTCTGTGTGGAAACACCATTGGAACACTTACTCTTAATATTTAGAACTGTTCAATCCTGCAGTGGAAAAAAGCCAGACTGTTCCTTTTGGGTAACATGTCGATTGTCAACATGATACTACAAGAAAAACAGGCACCTGTGAGACAAATTGGTATGGATCTGTAATCTCATGAGGATGTGTCTTTAAGTGCTTCCACTAAAACTGCTGAATAACTTGGAAAGATGTGATGCCGTGAGCATGTGGCTGAGACAGTTTTTTAGTAACTGAAGTCCCTCTGTCTGCCTGCAGGGGCACTGTTGGCAGCAGAGCATGTGAAGGACAGCGTCAATCTCTCTGTGCAGGAAGGCAAGGACACCAAGCTCCATGTCTCTGAGTGAGTATCCTTAACCTTAGGTATGTAAGTGCATAATCTAGAGGATACTAAGCTTTAATAAATTAGTGTTATTGGAGAGGCTTTTTAAAGACGTTCACACAATATTCTCAATAAGCAATATTTTTTTATTCTGTCTTCTTTTCAGTCAAGTTCAGTTCAATGATGTGAACTCCATTACACGTTACCTTGCACGTGTGGCTCCCAGTCTGGGTCTGTATGGCTCCAACATGATGGAACAAACAGAGGTCAGGGAATAGTCATCCTCTCATATGCCCCTTCATAAAAGGGGAGAGCGTTCAGAGTCGGAACTGTTTTGTAAGAATGAGTGTTTCATAGCCTTTGTATGTTGGATTCTCTCCTCTCTCCACTCTAGGTGGACCACTGGCTTGAATTCAGTGCACGGCGTCTCAGTGGGCAGTCAGGCTTGGCTCCTGCGCTTGGGGAGTTGAACGCAGCATTGGCCTTGCGTACCTTCTTGGTGGGCCATGGCCTCACCCTGGCTGATCTCTGTGTCTGGGCTGCTCTTAAAGGTAAGAGTTTGTGCCTGATCAGTCAAATTGTAGACCTGCTTATGTGGTTTCTGATTCTAAATAATATACTGTTATCTAAAAACTGCATAGTAGCCGACACCAGAAACCACATAAGCAAGCTGTAGTTCACAGTATTACAGTAATTCTCACAATTTTCAGTACAGTAGTCTCAGGCAAGTGTGTGGGGATTTAGATATGCAGTTTGCACACTGCTAATTGATTGGTTTAAAACTTGCTAGCTACATTAGACTCTTGGCTCCAGTGCAAAACCAAAGAAGCAGACTTTGGCTATCAAACATGTGTTGCTGATTGACTGCCTAAATGATTAAGAGGAAATTTGAGTAAATTAGATTTTTGGCCAGACTATTGCTTTAAGTCATTTCAGTAGTGTCAAATTGTGCTTAGTATCAAAGTTTGTGTTCTACTTGGTCTACAGGAAGTGGGGAGTGGCAGGCCACACAGGCTAAGTCAAGCTCTTTCCCTCATGTTTGCCGCTGGTTCTCTTTCCTGAGCTCTCAGGTGCCCTTCAGCGATGTGGGCAGCAAGTGGGCTAGTAAGCTCACTGCCAGCCAGACTGCTGTAAGTCTTATGCCATCTCTACTAATCATTGTTTACTTCTTCCTTTTACTAAGCAACATGGAATAAAATCACCAAGCACGTTTGATGTATTGCCAATGATAAGAATAAGTCAAACTAAAACTTTTACTTTACATTTATTATTACCAAACAAAACTGAAAACGCAAAAGTGGCTTTGGCCCAGCTTTAGTGTAGAAAAGGTTGTTATATCTATCACTGCCGTGGTTTGTGTTTAAGGCTGTGGAAAAGGAGAAGAAACAAGATGTCGGCAAGTTTGTGGAACTGCCTGGAGCTGAGATGGGCAAGGTGGTGGTGCGATTCCCCCCCGAGGCCAGTGGGTGAGTGACCCCAAACACTATACATGAGAAGTGGTTTAATACTGTTCTCAGTTATGTGAAATAACAGGTGGTTACATAAAATGTCCTGTTTTGTGCTTATGTGTGCAGGTACCTACACATTGGCCATGCCAAGGCTGCCCTGCTTAACCAGCACTACCAGATCAACTTTAAGGGCAAACTGATCATGCGCTTTGATGACACAAACCCTGAGAAGGAAAAGGAGGACTTTGAGAAGGTGTGAAGCTTCTGCTACTGTTACCTGTTGGCTGTTGTGTTTCCAGTTCCTTAACTGTTTCTATTCCTGTGGTTTAAAGAATAACACATTAGAACTTTTAGAAGTTCTCGTATACCCCATAAAGTAAGAAGCTGCTGTGGTGTGCTGCAGGTAATCTTGGAGGATGTGGCCATGCTGCAGATTAAGCCAGACCAGTTTACCTACACAAGCGACCACTTCCCCACCATTCTGCGTCTGGCTGAGCAGCTGCTGCGGGAGGGCAGGGCTTATATTGATGACACACCCCCTGATGCCATGAAGCAGGAGAGAGAGCAGAGGGTCGAGTCTCGCCACCGCAATAACTGTAAGTGCCTGCTGTGTTAGAGTTCACACTATGCAGAAATTTTGACTTTGTGTCAGCCCTACCCTACGTACTTAATGTCTGTGAGGCACTTAATAGGTTTCTGCAGCACTTGCTATTAGTTTTACCCCCACCCCCCCCAATTCTATCCCTTTTTTTTCATTCTCTAAATCTCTAGCTGTGGAAAAGAACATTCAGATGTGGGAAGAGATGAAGGCAGGTACAGAGTATGGTCAGACCTGCTGTATGAGAGCTAAGATTGACATGAACTCCAACAATGGCTGTATGCGTGATCCTACCCTTTACCGCTGCAAGAACGCCCCCCACCCTCGCACTGGAAGTACTTACAAGTGAGTTTACATGCACATACACCATGGCTGGCCAGTATGAGCTGCAAATTCATATAGTTTAAATGTGCCTGGTTGTGAAGATATACATTGGTGTATATTTTTATAAGCACTTTAAGTTAATAAATGATACAAGTTCCTTTCTAATTTTGTAAAACCCTGAACGCTTAGAAAACAAGGAGTAAATTATATTACCCACTCTAGCTTCACTTGCCTTTTATGGAATCATTTTTTCTCTCCTTCCTTCTTTTGTCTTACCTCTTCCCTCATCTGCTTTATTTTGCACTTTGTAGTTTGTTGTTCCTTGTATGTACCAAAGGCATCTCACTT